AGGATGGATAGGGAGTGGATTGCGAGGATGGATTGGGAGTGGGCGGTGCTGACTCCCTGGGATTACTTGCTTGGGTCTCCTGGGGAGAGGACTGGGCTGGAGATTGTGGACTCATCAAGCCGAAGTGGGTGGTAAAATCCACTAAATGATTGTGGATTTAGATTGTCCAGAATCTGCATAAAATGACTGAGGACTCAACACAGCTGCTTGAGGGATAGACTGGAGGAGTTTGACAAAGAAAGGCTGGGGAGAGAGGAAGGGACCCAGAATCAAGGTGTGGTTTGGAAGTGAGCAGAGCTGTTTCAGCTAAGGAGCTAGTAAACAGTTCTGTCCTAGGGGTTGGGGGCCTGGCATTTGGCTGAGTGGAGAGGACACACATTCACACCTGTGCAGAGCCAAGTGGGTATGCATGGACACAAAGTAGCAGTCAGCGGGCAAGATCGGCTCCCTTCTGCAGCCCCAACCCAGAACGAAGTGGCGCCCCAATTGCCTTCTGTGTCTATCTAGAAGGGATACCTGCTAGGAGGGACGAGGTCTCTTCTAAGACTCCTGGTCTCTCCCCTTTAATTTCCCCTTTGGGCCCCCCGTGTCCTGTGTGACCAGGACACAGGAGGTCACTCTAACCTGTCTGGCTGTGTGACCGTGGCACTGACATGCACAAGGGTTATTTTGCCCCAGTACAAGGGGACCAGGGCAAGTGCTCTCCAGATGGGATTTTAGTTGCACAGTTGTGAGTTACTTAGTCCAGAGCAAGCTTCAAAGCATAGAGCAGTGCCTGATGCTCCCAGCAGTTATACTGTCCTCTCCAACTCCAGGTCTTCCCATGGTTCCAGTTCCGGGGGATGGAGATGGTTTCAGGAATGGTTTCCATCCTTTCTTATCCTACTTTCTCCATGGCTGTGCAGCCATACCCTGGCTCTCTCTTTGCTCCTTGGGCTTGTAAAGAAGCAGGATTCTTTAGTGGGGATTAGTCTTATTTTTCGGCTTCATGTTAGTGCTGCCCCCAACAGCCCCCTGAACCCTGACTTGCAGGGTCCACCAGGAACATCCCAAACCAGCCTCTCACCAATTCTTGCTCAGAACAGTTTTCTTGATGCCCATCAGCGGCTTCCCAGGATATAGGAATTGTTGGGCCAGTCCCACCCTGGCTCCTTCCATACCATACCACTCCTGCCTCAGGGCTTTTGCACATACCTTCTGTTCCAGAGGCAGAATCATCTTCCCACCCTGACATCCCAATTCTTGGCTCTTTACCTCATCTTCTTAACACCTCCTGACCTTTCTCAAGGGCTATATCTTCAGGGCTCTGAACTATGCTTTAATTATACGTTTATTCATGGGAACATTTGCTAACTCTCTATCTCACCCAGGGACCACACCTTTCCTCTCCACAGTATATCCCCAGATCTTGGCCCAGGTCTCAGTGAGGAGTAGCTCCTCCCGTCCATAAATGGTTGAAAGAATGGAGCAGCTGGTGACCTCTTTTTATGAATGCCCACATTTTTCACAGGGGATAGATGTGTTTCTTTTCCTGCTAGAAGGGAGATGTGACTCACCCTAGAACAAGCTTGTGTGCTGCTTTGTAGCTGTAACACCCCAAATTCTTCCAGCAGTACCCCTGGATGGAACGTGAAGAAGCACTATTTGAGAGTCAAGCCATGGCAGTTTCTCATGCACATTTAACTCCTGTTATCCCTCTGCAGCCTGGGCTGGTCAGCATTAGGTAGGGGGAACTGGGAAGTCACTGGGCCAAACACTTCGGAACTCTCTGGCTGGAAATGGGACTGAACCAAAAGGTGGCTTGGCTTTGGAGTTCTGAACTATCCTTCCCCAAATAGGCTTGCAAAGCCTGGGCTTGACGTGTCATCACTAGTAGGTGCTCTAAAAAGCAACACAGAGAGGTGGCCAAAAGGCAGGATTCAAGGTCATTTGGAGGGATGAATGTACCTGCCTAAGGACATGGGCCTAGAAAGGGATGTGTGTGTGGTTTTTTTTGTTTTTTTCTTTTTTTCTTTTTTGAGATGGTGTCTTGCTCTGTCGCCCAGGCTGGAGTGCAGTGGCGCGATCTCGATCTAGTTTCACTGCCAGCTCCGCCTCCTGGGTTCACACTATTCTCCCGCCTCAGCCTCCCAAGTAGCTGGGACTACAGGCGCCCGCTATCACGCCCGGCTAATTTTTTGTATTTTTAGTAGAGACGGGGTTTCACTGTGTTAGCCAGGATGGTCTCGATCTCCTGACCTCGTGATCCACCCGCCTCGGCCTCCCAAAGTGCTGGGATTACAGGCATGAGCCACCGCGCCCGGCCGGGGTGTGGTTTTAAACCTGCCACCTAGAACACATGAAAAGGGAAAAGGACAGTTGTAATGCTGTCCTCAGTTTATAGAGGAAAAGACAGGAACGGAAGGGTTAGGCATGCAAATGGGCAAGATTTGAGTCTGACTTTGGAGAAGGAGCTTTAGCATTCACAGGAGGCCCACAGACTTCAGGACTGGGCCAGAGTGGCATCCATGCAGCCAAGTCCCATGATTAAGGGGTCAGAACTGTCCCCCCAGGAGTCTCCCTGAGGGGATGCTCTTTGGGTACTCTTTCTTATTAGCTATTTACGGTTCCTTTAGTGGTTCCAAAGCCTTCTTGAGTTCATGTATATTTCCTGCCTTGGGGTTTTGAGACCTGACTATTTATTAAAATAGTTCAATTATCCAGGGCAGAGCTGGAAGAGACTTCAGGATCATCTAGTCCATCTCCCTAATTTCACAAATGAGGAAACAGACCTAGAACTGGGGGCAGCAAAGGCAGGGCTGGGTTTCTTCCTAGCAGTACCCATCATCCCTGGCTTGAGGTTTGTAAGGAAGTTCTCCGTGGCCCTACCTAGGTTTGGACAATCACAGCCTTTCTCAGTAGCCACCCCTCCACCCCGCCCGGCCATACACACACCTTGACTGAGGCTGGACAGCCTCCATCTCAGCATGGCTCCTGGCTACTGACACTTGCGTTTCTTTGGTTTCCACCGGTACCTGGCCACTGTCCCTTCCTACAAGCTCTGCCCCAATAGTAAGAGCCAATTTCTTGAGCACTCGCTATGAGCTAAGCCTCCCATGAGGTCAGTCTTCTAATCACCACGTTCCCACGTGAGGAAATAGACTCAGGAGCTGAGTGCAGAGATGTGCTCCAAGCCGCGTCACAGGCAGGGTTGCCGAGCCAGGATTTACATCTTCACATTCAAAGTTCGTCATTGTGAATTTTGACTCTTGGGGACTGGGCTGCCGATGGGGCGGTACTGCTCCTGGCAGGGCCAGAGTTGAATGGGGCTTGAAAAGGGGGTTCATGGCAGCAGATCTATGGTTCAGGTGAGGGCCATCCCCCCAGCTCCCCACCTGACTCTAGCTGAAAATGACAACTACAACTGGAGCTGGCTCCTGCGCCCACGACACAGCCATTCATGCTTTTGGTGCACATTCCCCTTAATTACCAAAGTTCCCAATTAACGTGGGCTGCTGTGTCTGGTGCTGGGTTATTTTCTCCTATTTTTCCGTTCCTCGGAGTTTACTATTGCAGAGAGACACCAGGTCTGTCATTGTGTCTGTCTTGCTCCCTTCCCACCCTAACCAGAGGGAAACCGAAAAGCAACAGCTGATGGCAATCTGCTCCGGCGCTTGCACGCCCCCTCGGCGGCGGTCTCCTGTTGCTTCTCGGAGCTTGACTGCCCTTTGGAAAAATCTCTCCGCCCCTCGAGAGGAGAGGGGAGCAGAGGACGCGCGCAAGCACGGAGCGGGAGGACGGGCAGGGAGAGGAGGAGAAGGGGTTTGCGCGCGGCCGCTACCCAGAAGCCTGCGGACGGCAGCACGGAGTGGGCTGTCCCCGCGCCCCGCCCCGAGCGAGCCCCCCGCCCCCGCCCCCGCAGGACGCGCCTCCCAGCCAGCCCGACTCCTAGGAGGAGGGGAGGCGGGAAAGCAGCTCAAGCCTCACCCACCGCCCTGCCCCCAGCCCCGCCACTCCCAGGTTCCTCGGGACTCGGCGGGTCCTCCTGGGAGTCTCAGAGGGGACCGGCTGTGCAGGTAGGCGGCTGGGGAGGTGGGTAAAGTTGGCTCCTTTTTTCGAGGAGGAGCGAGGCTCACTGGGGACCGATCTCTGGAGCGCCGGGAGCGCAGGGTTTCGTTTGTTCAGTGGGTGTGTGCGGACCTCCACGGTCAGCAGCGCCGCGGTCCCCGCCTGGGCAGCGGGAAACCGGGCTGGGGATGTAAACAAGGAGATCGGCGTCGGAAGAGAGAGCAGCCTCTAGGAGAGGCAGGCTGTGGCGCTGGGGGTGACGCTGGTGGCTGGGAATTGCTCTCGATACTGCCTTGAGCTTGGGGTCAGGGTTTTCAGGAGAAGGGGAAAGGGCTGCGCCCACCCTTTTATCCATGAGGAGTTTTCCCTTTGTTACTTGGAAGCTGTGGACAGTTGGCGGAGCGTGGGGAATTACGGACGAGAGCGTGTGGCTGGGTGTGAGTGTGGACACATGAGCGACACAAAATGGAACTTGCTGGTTTGGTGCTTGGGGAAGGTGGGGCTGGGCGGTGGGCACTGGATGGGGGCGCAGGGAAAGAAGGATTCTAGAGCTCGAGGATTCATGAGAGTGCATCGTTTTTTTCCCCTCCTTCTTGTCTATGCATCCAATCCTGTTTCCTTTCCGGGGGGCCCTGGGGTCCCCCATTGCCCCCTTTCCCCAGCAGGGCTGGCCCTGGCAAAGCCTCCGCTATTGTGTCTCCCGGGCTTCCGTGGAGAGTTGGGTGTGCAGCCTGGGGCTCCCAGCGCTGGCTTCTGGCTCTTACAAGTGGTGGTTGGTAGAGGAGGCACCCGAGGGTGGGAGCTGGGAGCAGCCTCGCTGGAAACATGGGCCTGCCTCGTCACCTGCTGCAAGCCTGCACGCTCACGGGACCGTGGCTACTGGAGGCTTCTCCCCACCAGTGTGCCCTCTGCCTCCACTTCCTTTGTCTCCGTGGCTTCGTGCTCTCTCGCTGGGCTAGGATTTCCAGCTTTGAATATGGATCAGTGGACATCTTAGGCCCTCTCTGAAAGGAGCCCCCACTGGGGATCCAGCCACCCTCATATTACGAATGTGTATGTCTATGTCCGCAACTTAGCCTTTTGCACGTGACTTGCCTGGTGGTTGCTATGGAAACTCCTCCATTTCTCAGCCTCCCTCTTTCTCCTGCCCATTCCTCACCTCCATATCTCCTCCCCTCCCCCCAATATGGTTGCCTAGATACTGGTTATCCCTGGCTAGGAGACCTAGATATCTGGCTCCTACACCCAATTGCAGTGGCCCCTTACTCACACCACCCACTTCACACACACTGCACATCACCAGCACCACAAACACATACAGACATATACCACACTACGCAATCAACACACCCTCACACTCACACCACACATACACATACATCATACCTATACACACATACACACCAAACACACTGCATATATACCGCACCACCACACACCACCTCCAATGCTACACTGACACCCTACCCTCGCACTGTGCATGCGCGCACACACACACACACACACACACACTACGTCTACATAAGTCTCAGGCTGGGCTGCGGCAGGGGAGAGAGAGGGGAGTTTCCTTCCTCATCCAGCCACCTCCCTAGGTGTGCAGAGGGGAAGATGTGGAGGCTCAGGAAGCCCAGAAGGAAAACCCTAACATCTCCCTAGGAACCCTGCAGAAGAAGCTGGAGGAAAACGCACTGCCAGATTCCCTCAAAAGAGGAGCCCCTTCCCTAAACCTGGAAGGGAAGGTTGGATAAAGATTGGGCGCAGCCCTTTTCCCTCCTCCTCAAAGCCCTAGTCTGGAGCTCCAGGTGTTAACGAGAGCCAGGCTGGGCACCAACCAGAATTTCAATCTCTTCACTGCCGCTGCTCTCTTCCCTGACCCAGAGAAAGCCTGAGGCTCTGGGAGCCATCCTCACCAGCAGAGGATCAGGCCAGCGCTGGGACCATCAGAGGCTCTGAGCCCCCACAAAGGAGAGAAGGAAAAGTGGTTACTGTTCCAGGAAAGCTGAGGAGGCCAGACCAGGGAGGTAGGAAGGGGAGGGAAACCAGAAAGAGGCAAGGAGAGGGGCCACAGGAGTCAATAAAGTGAAAGTTAGGGCTACCCACCGTTGCCTGGGGTTCAGGCCACCCTCTCTTCCTGGCACGTTTTCCTGCTTCCCGCTTGGCTCCTCCAACCAAATCTGTGCATCTAGGAGAGGAAGTGGATGTGCAAAGGGCTCTAGGCTTGCCAGGGTTCTCCCAAGATGTGTGGCTTCTACAGTTGTTGGAAGGTAGGCTCCTGGGGGAAGAATTTGCTTCCTGGCTTCCATTGGATCTTCAGACTGACCTGACGACCCATTTCATTCAGTCATTCAAGGAACTGTTTTAAGTGTCTACTGTGTATTAATTGCTGGGGACATGAAGGTGAGGAGGGAGACACAGTCCCTGACATTGGAATCCTAGGTTTCTCAGAGCTGGAAGAGGCCTTGAGGGAGCATCCAGTTGAAACACAGTGGGGGAAACTGAGGCTCAGCGGTCACATGGCCAGTAGCACCTGAGGCCTTCTAACTCCTCAGCCAGGATTTCGGTCTTCACACTGCCTGTCCTGCATCCCTTGCTTTCTTTTCTCAGTCACCATCAGAGATGGTGGGTCGATGAAACTCTTTGGAGGGAGAGCCTTTGGTCAGCTGGTGACTGGGACGCCCTTCCAAAGTGAGGGTCCCCTAGTGGGCGGGGACAACTGGGGAGCCTGCTTCACTACGTTTTCTTGGAAGGCGAAGCTGGAAGGTGTGGCAAGGAGAGCAGGGAGAAGGGGCAGTTCCTAGACCCTGGAAATTCCCCGACAGCCTTGGGGGAGTCAGCCCACCAAGATCTCCCCTAAATAAGAGCACCTCCTCTCTTCCTGCCAACCTTGTTGGACTTAGTCAGCTGCCATCTGGATGGCAGACTGTGCCAGGCAGCCCCCCAAGACTCACCTTTGAACAAATCACCTTCTGAGCACCCTGGAGGAAGCAAACCAGTCATGAAAGGCACAGCTTGAAGGAGGCAGGGAGCCTGAAGTGGAAAGGCCGGGTTCCAGCCCCAGCTCTGCCCCTGAGCTTCCACGCTACTCACAGGCAAATGCATTCATTGCACAAATACCCCTTTGGATGCAAACTGGGCTTCTAGTGAAATCCAGAAATGGCTTAGACTGCTCTTCAGCAACTGAAAGCCTTTCGGATTTTAGACCTTTGTTTCTGCATCTGTCAATAGTGGGGTTAGATTCATGATTTCCAAGGCATGTCTTCCTCTAAATTTGTGTGGATTATACAGTCTTGAAAGAGATCTGTTTTCTCTCCAGGTACCAAATAGTACTCATTTCAGAATACAAGGCTGCAGCTGAGCTGAGCAGGAAGGGGCTGGGCTCAGGTTACCCTGGAGAAAACCCCCTTTTCACCCAGTGTGGCGGAAGGTGACCAAGAAGCTGAAACCAAATTTTTTTCTTTAGGGCCAAGGGAGCTGGCTCCTCCTGGACGCTGTGGTCTACCTGGCCTTTTCTACCAGGCTGCACACTGGGTGGGGTCTTTAAATAGTTATTCTCTGGAGAGGACAGGGCTGTCATTTTGGTGGTCCAAGAAATCTTCTCCAGGGAGAAGCCCTGGCCAGCTGGAGAGTTGCAATGCGAGGGGCCGGTCGGGAACACAGTGCTCTGACACTGTCCCTGATGAGAGGCAGGACATCTCTGGCCGAAACAAAAGCATGGAACCAATTTGGCAGCATCATCTCTGCTCCAGAATCGGCGGAGGGAGAGGCCCTGACCTGGGAAGGGATGAAACCAGTTTGGAGGCTGCACAGGAACATGTTTGTTACAAAGATGTGGGAGGGAGCACACAGCCTGGGAAGGGGCTGGGGCCCCACGGACCAGGCTGGGGCCATGGGAATAGGGCTGCTCCAGCTCAGAATATGTGATGTGGGCAGAGAGGGCCAAGGATGAAGGGATGTCGTTAGAAGGACAGTGACCCCCCACGCAGCTGGAGGACAAAGCCAGGCCCGTACTGAGAGACCAGAGGCTAAGGTTTCAAACTGTCCCATTCACCCTTTTAATAAAGGTTCCCCTCGTAGGTCAGGCAGGCCCTGTGGGCTTCTGAGGTTTCTCCTTCGCTGGAGCCCTCCTGCTCAGGTGGGTCAACTGGCTTATCCTGTTCCATCTTCTCTCCCACTGCCCACCTCACGTCCACCTCCTTCCAGGAGGCTCTGCGACCTTCTTCCTCCATAAGAAGAGCCCCTCTATGCAATCACGGGTGCACTTATGCTCACACACACTTTCCCTTCCTCACCATACATAATCTCCCACACCCGACAGGGAGGCAGGGGCTCGCACATTCCCACACGCCCTCTCTCCTCCCCAAAGAGCTGCAGTCTCTCAGACCATGGTGATGGCCTCTGAACGTCCACCCTCTCAGCCCACTCCATTTTACCCGCTGATGTGACAGCTCAGGTCCAGGTTTGCCACTCCTCTGCTCAAAAACCTCCCCAGGCTCGACTGTGCCTATTAATAAGCACAGGTACGTGGTGCGGGCACTCCAGGCTCAGCGCGACCTGGCTGCAGCCACCTCTGCAGGCACCTTCTCCAGATGGTCATCCGAAGCCTGGTACTGTCTCCCCCTGTGCCTGAGCTCAGGCCCTTGCTGGAATGTGCCGAGTAGAGGGTGGCAGTCTTTGTAGACACACAAACTTGGATTCTAACCTGGATTCTGATGCTGCCTAGATTTCTTCACTTTCCTAAGCCTCAGTTTCCTTACCTGTGAAATGAGTGTGAGGACAGTAGGAGGTGAGTTGTGCACAGGGCTCAGCATGCTGCCTAGCACAGAGTAAACACTCAGGAGATATCAGCTGCTGTGGTAATGGTAGTCATGACACATTGCTAGGATTATTCGAATGGCATTATTATTGTGATATCATCCTTCGCGGCTCCTCCCAAGTGTTGATTCTTTCGGGTAATTCTTCCATATTCGCAATAAACAGGCATTAAAATTCCCAATAAACATACTCCTCC